CAGAGGCATGGTTCCATCAGACAGTGCTTCTTGAAACCAATAAACCCAAAACAGGTGTGTGGTTTTTTTAGGGCAGGACAGCTGTCAGCAACACATCCAATATCATCACACTGATGGAGTCAAGGTTGGCTCACTCCTGGCTCCAATTAGCTTGGGAGAAGTCATTAAGCTAGGGCTTCACATACTGTTTTTTCCTCCCTGCACTGTGAATGTTTACATGTTATGTGCAATTAAACCATGGCAACAACTTATGTTTGTAAAGTATTATGTTCAGCAGACTGTGTTCTTCTATTGTTGTGACTTAGATGACGTTCAAGCACATTTTATGCCCAATTCATGCACAACTCCACGTAATCCCAAGGGGTTCACATACTTTTTCTTGCAACTGTATGTTTTTTTTGTATTTATTTATTTATTTTGTATATATGTATTTTAATACCTTTTTGTAAGAAAATTTTGTTGCTGGTCGCAAGATTTTATCTAATAAAATATTTCCAACAAGGGGCTAGGTTTAAGCCTGCAGGATGGACCTATATAGAGATCTGCCCTTAGAATAAAGTGGCTTTAACAAGTCTTTGTGATATATTTTCTGCCGGCTACATTTGGGCCCAGTAGGAACACTGGTGTGCAGGATAAGTCAATGAAGTGGATATTGCAGCAGAGTATAAGAGGGATTGAGTTTAATGAAGGAGGGGACTCTCTGGTACAGATGAATACTTAGGAAAAAGTAGGCCCAGTGACAGCAGTAAAGTGCAAGGATGTGCACAGTTGCTTTAATTTGATGTAATGGTGGACACAGCTACAGGAAATAGATGTAAAAGTATGCACTACGTCAGCACTCTGGGTTGCAGAGCAGAGGGCAGGACTACATCAGCTCCTGTCTAGTACAGCATGGACAATTCACACAGCAGCAGGTGTGGGATCAGTGACCGTCAGTTGTTTGCAAATGGATGCAGCTTAACAGTGAGTCCATGCTCCTCTCACCAGATCCTTCCTTTGCAATTCTCTGATGGTGGTTGGTTGGATATGCGGCGGGGGCCCCCTTTTCTCTGCAGTTGACCGATGATAGAAACAGGTGGGATGGCAACAGCATATCTGGATGATGACAGCCTGGATCACCGCAAAAGAACATGGCATGTGTACTGGAACAGCTGATCCAGCAGCAAACCTCATCCAACCTAGCCTTCTGGCTCCTTAGAAGTATCATCATTGTGTTGAGTAGAGAGCCATCTATTGGGGTGGTCACTGCAACTGCACCTGTCTTTATTATTCCTTTCAATAAAGAACAGATTCCCCATCTACCACTGAAGCCATTTTAGCTTCCAGAAGAACACCAGAGATGGTCTCCTCCATTCTCCCTTTGATACACATATACCTTTAAGTTCTTTTGTTGGGTTTGTTAAAATCACATTTATATCCAGATCGCATTTAAATGTATTTATTGTGATTTGTAGGTAGCTGTTTGCAAGAAATGTGTTCATTGTAAGCATTTGTGAGAGACATGTTTACAAGTATATTGTATCTTCATATTATGTAAATTTATTGCAGTTTTACAGAACCAATCACATAAGTAAATTCAGTTTTGGAATGAAACAGAGCACTGTTTCTGTAAGTTTTGTTAGCTAGCTGTTCGCTAACCATTAGTAGGACAGCACAATCAGTGTCCAGCAAACTCAGCATAGGAACCCCTCAGCAAGCACAGCACTTCTTTTTCTTTCCTACATCAGTTGGCGCCCTCCTGCAACTGCTCCACACTTTGTAAGACTTTCCTTTTTAAATGACCCCTCCTGCTCTCAGGTGTGCTTGGGTATTGAAGTTGTTCCTCAATGATAGTTGCAGTCCAGGTCCTTCTCCAAACTATATCTTCCATGGTGCCACTACCCAGAGTCAAGTACTGGCTAAACAAGGCACACAAGTTACTGTCATTTTGTGGCAGAAAAAGAGTTCTGCATTCAGGAACGTTACCATCAGGCTAAGAATTAGCTGCACTGGGCTAACCTGGTCATTCTTTGGGCATTCTCCTAGATTGTAAGCTCGAAAGAGCAGGGCCCTCGAAACCCTTGTGTATTGTATTGTTACTGTCTTGTCTCTTGTTCTGTCCCCCTGCTATTGTACAGCACTGAGCAAACCCTTTGGCGCTATATACATACTGTATAATAATAATAATTCTGAAAAATCTATTTGTCCACCAGAAATTTGCCATCTTTCTTAAAAATAAAGTATGACATTCCATAAAATACAGTAGGTCAGCTTTCACTGGTAACTGTAGTTAAGCAAGGTTTGCATTTTCATTTACTTTTGTATGACTCTGTCCCTATTCTTAAACACTTTTAATTAAAAGGTTCTCTTTATTGTAGAAACATCAATGTGCACTTCCAGTGGAGAAGCGTGAGCTGATTCGTAGGCACAAAATCATTAGTTTTGTTTATTCAGTTGCCGATAATACATCAGCAATTACATGTTCTCTCTGCAGAAATGATCTCCCTATGGTGACAACTAATGACCAAGAAAATGTGTGCAGAGATGAAGATAAAGAAAAAAAAACTTTAATTCACAAGTAGTTAATATATGGTTGAAAATGTAATAATACTTTTTGTTTTATTTTGCCATCAGCCTATCTATGTCTGAAACAACTATGGTAATGAAGAACAACTATTAGCCCAACGTAGCTGAGAATTCCTTTGGTAGTCAGTGAGCCTGCAGTGCAGTTGACATCTTCTTCTGTAATTGAAGTAGTAAGGGGCTAATATTTCACAAACAACAGACATGGATCTTGAACTTAGATAAGAAATTATGCATTTTTTCTATTCCTCAGAACTACTCTTGAACATGAAGCTGTTCCTAATGTTGAAGCCTGATTGAAGATTCTCTTTAACTGTTATCTGTACACCTTACTCTTCATTTCCAATATCTTCTTGTACAGCCTTCAAAAAAAGAGGCAACTGGAAAATGAATCCTAAATAAATCAAAAACCAAGGTGTCGCGCTCCACTACCAATGGTGATAATATATAGAAATAAAACAAAAAAAGATATATGAATTAAATTGCATTAAACTAAATTATGTGAATAAGTCCAGCATCAATTAAACAGCGTGATAGTACAATCATGCATGTTTTTGAATAATCCGTGTTTTTGATGTGTCTTCTACTGGTGTAATACAAAATGAATAACGTGTAGTCCATCAATCTTAAATTATGCACTCCTTGACCAGTTGTGCTCTCACTTGACGTATATGACCAAGCTGTTAAGTGAGGTCATAAAAGCTTGTGTCTCTTTAATTGGACTCAAAAATGAACAAATGAATGTATCCGTTTCCTAGATGGAAGGATGAATGAATGGAGTTTTTCCTTTTTCCCAGCAGGGGATCTCGCCACTTCCTAAGGACCTTTTTCCTGGAGGCGGATGGATGGGGTTATCCCTCTTCCCACTAGGGGTCTCTTCACTCCCTTCAGATTTTTTTTCTCCATGTGCATTAAGTACCATGTAATTTAAAAATAGAATATAGTGCCTTATCTTCTTTTTAAAATATTTAATAAACAAATGCAGTACACTCACATGAAATTCAAATTCAAATCGCTTTTTTGTACAAAATACAGGTTCTTCAATGTGTTTGCCACACTCCAATATACTTGCTGTGTTGTTGCCTTTAAGTGTTGTGATGTCAGAGCCCTTCCCCTTAGGTCCTTAGGAAGTGGCGAGACCCCCTGCTGGGCAAAGGGAAAAACTCCACTGATCCATCCATCCATCTAGGAAACAGGGATACATTAATCTGTTCATCTTTGAGTCCAATTAAAGGGACACAAGCTTGTATGACCTCACTTAACAATTTGGTCATATACGTTAGGTGAGAGCACAACTTGTGAAGGAGCACACAATTTAAGATTGGTGGACTACACGTTATTCATTTTGTATTACACCAGTTGAAGACACATCAAAATTATGGATTATTCAAAGACATGCATGCAGCACCAGCATGGTTGCACTATCACACTGCTTAATTGATGCTGGACTTATTCACATAATTTAATTTAATGCAATTTAATTCATATATATTTATTTTTTTATTTATGTATGTTTATATATTTTTTATTATCATTTATATATTTATTTTATTATTATTACCATTGGTAGTGGAGCGCGACACCTTGGTTTTTGATTTATTTACAGTGACACACCGGTATGAGTATGTGTATAGTGTAGGCGACCCACTTATTCATATAATATTTCGCACACCAACCTATTTGATTTGATTTTATTCCACCCATTTTTAAATAATTTCATTGTCATTTCATATCAAACACTTGGTGTAATTTTTATTAATTAAATTGGTTCTTAAATATCCACTCAAATTAATATTTTGTATTCACATAGAGTTTATACCATAGTAGCTCACAAGAATCACGTTTATCATTGGAAAATTAACCCTATATGCCAGAAGATGGCTACCTACATTCAATAGAAGCATCAACTGAGAAATTAATACAGTAACGTTTATCAAATACACTAGAAGTGGTTACCTACCAGGACAGATTCTGATTATTGTACAAAAACATTACAAAGGGATAAGGCAAAAAACTATAATACATGGATTTAATAAAAGTGTTGCCAGGATGTATAACACATGGGCAACTCTCCATAATTAAAACACAACTGCAAGGAAATGAAAATACTTTCCTTGCAGTGGGGCTCCCAACACACTTCAAGGGGTAAGTGCCCTTTTTTTGTCTAGGGTACCATTAACCACTTGCCTACCGGGCACTTATACCCCCTTCTTTACCAGGCCAATTTTCAGCTTTCAGCGCTGTTGCACTTTGATTGACAATTACGCGGTCATGCAAGATTATACCCATATGAAATTTTTATAATTTTTTTCTCACAAATAGAGCTTTCTTTTGATGGTATTTATTCGCCGCTGGGCGCTTTACTTTTTGCGCTATAAACAAAAAAATTGCAAAAAATGTGAAAAAAAAAAGTTTCTTTGTTTCTATTATAAAATTTTTCAAACAGGTAATTTTTCTCCTTCACTGATGTGCGTTGATGAGGCAGCACTGATGGGCACTGATAGGCGGCACAGATGGGCACTGATAGGAGGCACTGATGGTCACTGATAGGCAGCACTGAAGGTCACTGATAGGCAGGCACTAATGAGGTGGCACGGATAGGCGGCATTGATAGGCAGCACTAATGAGGTGTCACGGATAGGCGGCACTGATAGGCGACACTGATGATGGGTACTGATAGACAACACTCATAGGTGGCACTGACTGGCATCACTACTGGGCACTGACTGGTGGCACTGCTGGGCACTGACTGGCACAACCGCTGGGCACTGATTGGTGCCACTGACTGACAGCACTGCTGGGCTGCATTGATGGGCACTGATGGGCACAGGTAGGTGGCACTGGTGGGCACAGGTGGGTGGGCACAGGTAGGTGGCACTTCTGGGCACAGTTGTGTGACACTGCTGGGTGGCACAGGTGGGTGCACTGCTGGGCACAGGTGGATGCACTGCTGGGCACAGGTGGGCGGAGCTAGTGGGCGCACTGCTGGGCACAGGTGGGCAGAACTTGTGGGTGGCACTGCTGGGCAACGATCATCAGGGCACTGATCATCAGTGCCCTGATGATCGGTGCCGATGCCTGCTCTAACAACTGCCGGTTCTCGGCAGTAGTTTCCTCACGATCTGCCAGCGTGAGGAAAGTGCAGCCAAGAACCAGCAATTGCATTTCCCGGTGATCAGCGTGTCATAGGACACGGCTGATCACGTGGTAAAAGGCCGCTGTGATTGGCCTTTTACCACATCACGTGATCAGCTGTGTCCGTAGGACACAGCGATCACAAAGATCGCCGGGTGCGCGTCCCCAGGGGCGCGCAGGAGAGCGCTTTCTGGGAGGACGTCATATGACGCCCACCCAGAACTGGCCGGCTGCAGTGCAGCCATCATTCGGCTATCTGCGGTCGGCAAGTAGTTAAAAAGCATTTTTACTTTCCTTATCCCCTGCTCCTGCAGCCTTCTTTTCCATGAAACTGTTCAACCAAAGTCGCTTCTCTTCAGCGCCTCATATGACAGTTACACTCTGGTGTCATCATGTTCAGTGCAGGACCAGGTGTCCTGCATCGTAAGTGAGGATTCGTGGGGGCACACCCACAAACTACAGCAACCAAGCCTTTGGGAGTCATGCTTATAACTGCAAGCCTTGCAATGTCTCATGGGCAGGGGTGGACTGACCATTTGGAAACTCGGGCACTGCCTGATGCCCTGAGGTCAGTAGGGGGCCCCATGAGATGCCCCTGGTACCTTTTTCATAGGCGTTTTTGAGTTTGGGCAAGGAAACAGGAGCCCCTATTGCCCGGGGGTCCCATGAGTTGTCAGTCCACCCCTGCTCATGGGACTTGTAGTTTGGCAACAGCTGGAGGACTGCTAGTTTGACACCCCTGACCTAGGTAGTCTGAGTTGAATTTCAATTCCCTCCTCACCGACCGCAAACCTCCTGGGACATATCATAGGTCCCAGGAGGTTGTGGGACCATTTACAAAGTGCAGCACAGCTTGTGCATTCGCAGTGGGGAACCGACTGTGAAACTACAGAAAGTCACAGCCGGCTTTCAACAGTTAACATGGCTGTGCCGAGGACCTGAAGACCATCAAAGACCTGGCCCAGGTGAAGACAGCACTGAATCCCTGGGCTGGTAAGTGTCTTTTTTACTAAAAATCAGAAGCTACAGTATTTGTAGCTGCTGACTTTTATGCTTTTTTTTTTAAACTGAAGTTCCTATTTAAGGTCTACAGTATCTCAAGGCAAAATTAAAAAAAAAAAAAAAAAAACATTTTGTATATCTCTGCAATACATGCACATTTCCCCATAATTTTTCCTTTAAGCACACTGCAATTACAGAAAAAAAACTTTTGATGTACCAGAAATATAGTATGCTCATACTTTCCTTGTTGGCATGACAACACAGTGTATTTTTGGCTCTGAAATCTAAAGCAAATGTTGTCAGCCCTGCATACTTCATTTCTGGTACATTACAAAAAACACAAACCTCTTCTCATCCTCCTCCCTCATCTCTATAACCCCTCCCTGTGAACAGACAGAGAGCACATGAATTCATCAATGTACACAATTTCTGGTAGATATCTACAGGTATTTATTGAATGAAACAAAACTAAACACTTTCAATGGTACATTTAGTAGAACAAAAGGGATTAAATAAAGGAAGTTCAATATTAGGGTTGACATACACTTTATAGTACATAGGCAAAGAAAATAGGTATTGGAACACCTCTCCAAATCATTTGATTCAGGTGTTCCAATCACCTCCATGGCCACAGGTGTATAAAATCAAGCACCTAGGCATGCAGACTGCTTCTACAAACATTTGTGAAAGAATGGGTCGCTCTCAGGAGCTCAGTGAGTTTAAGCGTGATACCAAAATAGGTTGCCACCTGTGCAATAAGTCCTTCCGTGAAATTTCCTTGCTACTAAATATTCCACGGTCAACTGTTAGCGGTATTATAACAAAGTGGAAGCGATTGGGAACAACAGCAACTCGGCCACGTAAAATGACAGAGCGGGGTCAGCGCGTGCTCAAGCGCACAGTGCACAGAAGTCGCCAACAGTCTGCAGAGTCAATAGCTAAATACCTCCAAACTGTATGTGGATTTCAGATTAGCGACTGTGCATAGAGAGCTTCATGGAATGGGCTTCCATGGCCAAGCAGCTGCATCCAAGTCTTAGATCACCAAGTGCAATGCAAAGGGTCAGAGGCAGTGGTGTACAGCACGCCGCCACTGGACTCTAGAGCAGTGGAGACGTGTTCTCTGGAGTGAAGAATCATGCTTCCCTGTCTGGCAATCTGATGGATGTGTGTGAGTTAGATGGTTGCCAGGAGATCTGTACTTGCCTGACTGCATTGGAGGGGGGATTATGGTGTGGGGTTGTTCTTCAGAGGTTGGGCTTGGCCGCTTAGTTCCAGTGAAGGGAACTCACAAGGCATCAGTATACCAAGACATTTCAAACAATTGCATGCTCCCAACTTTGTGGGAACGGTTTGGGGATGGCCCTCTTCCTGTTCCAACATGACTGCGCACCAGTGCACAAAGCAAGGTCCGTGAAGACATGGATAAGCGAGTTTGGGGTGGAAGAACTTGACTGGCCTGCACAGAGTCCAGACCTCAACCCAATAAAACACCTTTGGGATGAAGAAGAGCGGAGACTGTGAGCCAGGCCTTCTCGTCTGACATCAGTGCCTGACCTCACAAATGAGTTTCTGGAATAATGGTCAAACTTTCCCATAGATACACTCCTAAACCTTGTGGACAGCCTCCCCAGAAAAGTTGAAGCTGTTATAGCTGCAAAAAGTGGGCCAACTCAATATTGAACCCTACAGACTAAGACTAGGATGCCATTAACCACTTCAGATTCAGACACTTTCACCCTCTTCCAGTCCAGGCCAATTTTCAGCTTTCACACTTTGAATGACAAATGCGCGGTCATGCAACACTGTACCCAAATGAAATTTTTAACGTTTGAGACAGATAGAACTTTCTTTTGGTGGTATTTATTCACCACTGGGATTTTTATTTTTTTGCTATATAAATGAAATTTTGAAAAAAAACTTCTTTTTCTTATAAAATTTTGCAAAAAAATAATCCTTCTTCATAAATCTTGGCCAAAATGTATTCTGCTACCTTTTTAGTAAAAAAATAACTCAAATCAGTATATAGAAAAATAATTATAATTTTTTTTTACATTTTTATTTTTATTTTTATATAATTTATTAAGTTTTGTTTTTTTTTTTTGTACATACTGTCACCCTAGCATTTTTTTTATACTGTGATTGCTTTTACACCCATAAAGGCTGTAAAAGCAATCATTTCTCCTTCTCTCTGGCTGCATTCCTGCAGCCATTGAGAAATACTGTGAGAGCTGTAATTGGCCACAGCTTACCACATGGTACAAGGCTGCTATGAATGATCATTCACAGAATTTACAAGTAGTAAACAATGATGTCAGGAAGAGACATCTTGTTTACTACTGTTCATGTGATCACAATTTGATTGGCCAATCGGTGATCACATGAATCGGGAACTCACACAGCGTCCCTGAACAGCGATCTGTCTTCCACTGTGTCTGGGGGACACAACGGGCACAGTTGGTGGTGGTGCACGCTCCCACAGTGCGCACAGTCAGTGGATGTGGGGGGGGGGGGGGGGGGCATTTAAAAATGTCCACCTGCATCAGCAATGTCCAGCAGTTTATCTCTATCTCTCTTCAATGCATCACATCTTAGCATGTTTTTTAGCTTGTTCAAATATTGAAAGTACAGAAAAATAAATATTGAGTCTGTCAGAAATCCAGTTAGTTTCCTAACTTGTGAATCCCAAGCACAGTTGTCAGTCCTTCTTGAATTCTCCCGTTAGACTATCCCTCTATTCTTGAGAAACATAAGAGAGGAGGGGTCATGTAGGAGGAGAATGCATGCAGGACTGAGGACACTGGATTTTATTGCAGCAGATGCTTAACACTTTAAAGTACAAGCTACTATTTAGCAACACACCTAATATGGGCTAAAACAGATGACTTCATACAGATGATCTAATGTTAATTAGTATTTCGAAGAAAATATTCTAGTAGCTGAGCTTCACTCTATTGGTGAATGATTGGATATCTGTGATCAGCTCAAGCAGTTGGATTTATTTACAAATTAACCAAATGATACTCATTTTACCTATTAAAGTGATATAAAAAAGGTATAATATTAACGTGATAGTATTGTTTTTAAAGCAGATTTTCGGGAAAAAAGGTTTTTACATGTCCTTGTTACTGATCTCCTAACTTCACTGAATATGTCATCCATATTCTTGTTAACTCAGTAGTTTCTTTGAAATTGTCTGATGATTTTGAAATCAAACCATTAATTCCTAGGGGTTTCCGGTTTGTAAGACCGATGGCTGCTATGCCTCCTATTTCCCAGCCAAAAGTCTTAGGACATCCCCTCTGTAGTTCTGTTCTCCAGGAAGCAGGGATGTATTTCCGTTCCTGCTTGCTGTAGTGGGCAGAACAGGACTCAGAGACCGCTAGTCTGTACAGCCCATGGATGTGGGGCTCTAAAAAATGACAGCCCCCCTGACCCGCTCTGAAAGGCTGCACCAGCTGGAGGAAGCAGCTGAGGGACTACAGAATCAGCGCTCCTCTCACAGCCAGATGAAATAGTTCCACATGCAGCAGATGGTGAGGCTTGCAAGAGCTGGGCGAAAGCCAGCTGTCAAACTGAGGGTGATGTTGGGAGTGTGTGGGACCAGAGCAGCTGTCAAATGCCAGCCAATGGGATGAGGAATGAGTGGCATATAGAGCAACTGGTGCTCTGCATGCTCTCCCTGCAGCCACTAAATGCCTGCAAGAGGGAGTGGAGGAGAAGCAGGCATTCAGCAGCTTCAGGGAGGAGAATGCAGAGCATCGGTTGCTCTATATGCCGCTTACCACCCCTCTCATCCAGCCTGACATGTGTTTCTGGCAGCCATAAGTTGCTGCGACTGGTGGCTCTGCCTCCTAGCTCCGCCCCCTGACTTTGGCTCCCACTTCTTGG